GGGAATGGGTGTTAAGAGCAGAAGAAAAATTTGTCTTGAGCCAGTCTCTCATGCCAATAATCCTAGCTACTCAGGAGGCTGAGCTCTGAGGATCTCTGTTTGAAGCCAGCCTGAGCAGGAAAAGTCCATGAAACTCTTATTTACCTCCAGTTAACCACCAGAAAACTAGAAATGGCACTGTGGCTCAAAGTGATAGAGTGTTAGTAGCTTTGATCGAAAAAGCTCAGGGACAGTGCCCAGGCCCTGAGTTCATACCCCAAAACTGGAGGAAAAAAAATAGTCCTGATTATAGTAACTAAATCCACTTTGGCACAGTATGTAGATGAATCAATAGAATTTCAAGAGAAAACTAGGAATAAATAAGTTATGACTCATAAGAGTATAACATTGAACATTGGTAAATCAAGTGGAAGGATGCACAGTATTGATCATTGATTTTGTACTACTTTCTAGGCACTGAGGATAACAGTGGAGATCAAGGCAGAGTGATCAAAAAATCCATTTTTTTTTTTGGGGGGGCCCAGTCGTAGGGCCTGAACTCTGGGCCTGGGTGCTGTCCCTCAGCTCTTCAGCTAGTGCTCTACCACTTGAGCCACAGTGCCACTTCCGGCTTTTTTCTTTTTGCTTATGTGGTGCTGAGGAATTGAACCCAGGGCCTCAGGCATGCAAGGCAAGCGTTCTACCACTGAGCCATCTTCCCAGCCCCCAAAAATCCATTATTTTTATTTCTGATTTCTGTTTGGGAAAGGGTACAGACAAAACACATAATGAATTATCAGGTTTTGAGAGTTGAGGAGTAGTATGTGTAAGGTCAGGGAAGGTGTCCCCCAAAACACTTGAGTAGATATGAATGAAGTTAAAAACAGCATAGTAAAGACCCTGTATTCTGTGGATATGTTTAAGTCCATCCACTTAGTAGTATACTGTATAGTTTACAGAAAGAACATGATGGGTTGGGAGATTCTGAATTGGTCAAGCTGTATTAATTTAGCTCTAATCCATTTAAGTTAAAAAAAAAAAAAGAGGAATGGGTTGTAGATTCCTACAGAGTTCAAATGCCAGCTCAACTACTTTAAACTCTGGTGACTTAGGATAAGTTCTATAATACTTCAAATTCATTTCTTCACAATTAAAACAGGACTAAATATGATACTCCTTGCCTTGTATGTACTCAGAAAGGACGATGGAGATTTGAGAATAGACTAGGCAAAATTAGTAAGATCTCATTACATTTTGTAAGCCAGTATGGTGGTACATGTGTAAATTTTACTACTCAAGAGGCATAGGGATGCAGATCAAAGCCAGTCTGGAAGAAAAACGTTTGAGTCCTGTCTGAAAACTTAAAAAGGCAAAAACATAGGGTGGGATGGGGGTGGTACATGGCTCAACTGGTAGAGCACTTGCCTAGCAAGTGCGATCCCCTGAGTTCAAAACACAGTAGTGCCAAAACAAAACATGGCTAGGGTTGTAAAATTTAAATAATATGTGAAGTAAAAGTTTCCTAGACAATACTTCTTGTGTATTGATCTTATTTTTAGTAATGATAAATTTGTTCCACTCATCTAAAGGATCAGCATTATATGAATATATGTAAAACTGACAATGTAAGTACTAATCAGAATCTTAGAGAATTTCACACAGCAGTGATTGTGCTATTTTATTTGTAATTTGCTTTTATCACAGGCAGATTATCAAAAGCTTTGTTATAGAAATAGTATGGGTTAAAAATGATGGGAAGAGTATAGAAAACAGGGACAAAATGGGATGAATGAGAGCACAAATGTTTTCTGTGAGCCATGGAATATACGTTACACAGAAGTCACACTTTTAATTCAGTCTTGTAGCAGCTAAAGAGCCTTTATATCCTACAGAATACATGCTTATGAAGTAACAAAGCTTAATTATGGACGAAAATAAAAGTAGATTAGAATTGAAAGTTATCTCTGACACCCCTCTCTCCTTCCCCACACACATACAAAGCCTCAGGCCTAGTAAAGGTCTTTAACTCTTAAAGGATTGACTTTAGTTGGTGGAGAATATAGGAAAAGAAACTTCTTATATTAAAAAAGATTCCTGTATTCTCAAGCTAGTAGATTAAAGTGTTAAAGCATTCTGTAGACTAGTATACTCAATCTTTGTAATGTAAGTTTTCTGTAGACTAGTGTGCTTAATCTTTTTAATTTTAGCATTCCTTACATAGTTGAAAATTATTGAAGAGCTCAAGTTTGTTCCCCCTTGCACATTGTGCGGGTCTTGAGGCTTTGAATTAAGGGCCTGGGTGCTATCCCTGAGCTTTATTGCTATGGCTTGTACTCTACTCCTTGATCCCACAGTGCCACTTCTGTTTTTTTAGTGCATAATTAGAGATAAGAGTCTCACAGACTTTCCTACCTGGTCAGGCTTCAGAGATCCTCAGATCTCAATCTCCTGAATGGCTACATTTACAGGTGTGAGGCACTGGCTCCCATCTTCAGGTGCTTTTTAGGTTGACTGTCATTTGATAATCACCCTATAAGAAATTAAAAATACCTGAATTTACATAAACACATGATAACATAATATTTTAATTTAAAAACAATATCCCCCCCCACCCCCCTCCACCAAATTGATGATTTGAATGCATGCATGTTTACAAATCTGATGTCTGGTTTAATAGAAGTTGCACTTGGATCCTATCTGTGAGGTGTTTCTCAGTATTTTTAGATAATTTTATGTATTTTGAAACTACACAAAAAGCAGGTAAGCAATAGTCTTTTACAGGTTATAATATGTAATCCAAACTTACCTGAAGAAATGTTTTCTACTACACCATATTGAAGCCCATTGGTTTCTCTTGTACTACATGAACACATGAACATGTGTGTGTGTGAGCGCGCGCGCCTGGGCACTGTCTCTGAGCATTTTTTACTCAAGGCTAGAGCTCTGCCACTTGAGCTGTAGCTCCACTTGGTCTTTTCAGTAGTAGAGATAAGAGTCTCTCTCTTTTTTTTTTTTTTTGGGTGTGGTCGTGGGATCTGAACTCTGGGCCTGGGCACTGTCCCTCGGCTCTTCAGCTTAAGGCTAGCGCTCTACCACTTGAGCCACAGCGCCACTTCTGGCTTTTTTCTTTTTTGCTTATGTGGTGCTGAGGAATCGAACCCAGGGGCTCAGCCATGCAAGGCAAGCGTTCTACCACTGAGCCACCTTCCCAGCCCCGAGATAAGAGTCTTATGCACTTTTATGCCCGGGTTGAATTTGAACTGAGGTCTTCGGGTCTCAGCCTCCTGAGTTGATAGGATTACAGGTTTAAGCCATCCTGGAAGGCTGAATCTTCTAATTGTGATGACTTTGTAACATGCATTTTTTTTTTTTTTTTTGGTGGAGGGAATATTTAAATAGCCACTGAATTGAGCAGATCTTCCAAATACAACATTGTATATTTGTTATCATCTCTAAACTTGTGAGAAGTATTATCATCATATCAAGCTCATTATGTTTTTCAGCATTATAATTTTCCTTTGGAAGTAGAATTTTCTAATTTATAATACTGTCAGGTTCCTTGAAATGAAAAGCTGTCTTGGTTCATATATGAGAAAGGACTTGATAGATAAGTAAAACTGTAACAATCAGTAGTTTGTTTCATTAGGTAAAAGTGGTGGTTCATATAAAAGGTAACCACTTCAGTCTGCAGTTCAAATAACTACACCAGATCTTCTCCTCCTGGTAGTAAATGCTTTTTTCTTTTTTTATACTTCCTTTTTACTTCCTTTTTTCTCCCACCTTTTTTTGGGGGGGGGGGTAGTACTGGGGTTGATCTTAAGAGCTTCATTCCTGCTCAGTTTGAGTGGCTTGCTTGTTCACAGCTAACACTCTATACCACTGGAGCTCTACCATAAGCCTGAATTTTTTGGGGCTGTTAACTAGATACGGAGTCTCACAGGCTACCTTCAAACTGAGATCTGTTTGGTCTTACCTTCCTAAATAGCTATCAGCATCTGGCTCTGAATTTGAGATTGCTTCATAAAGATTATTAGAATAATACATTTTCAGCAGGTACTTTTTTTTTTTTCTTCTTAAATGCCAGATTTGGGGCTTGAACCTAAGTAAGGGTCTGAATGTTATCCCTGAGTTTTTTTTTTACACCATGTTCATGCTTTACCTCTTGAGCCACAGATCCCTTTTGCCTATTTTTTTGGGGGGGGGGGGTGGGAATGGTGGTTAATCAGAGATAAGAAGTCTCACAAACTCTGCTGTGTAGGCTGGTTTTGAACCTTGATCCTCAGATCTCAGACTTCTGAGTAGCTAGGATTACAGATGTTAACCACCAGTACCAGGTGTCTGCTATTTAGTTATTTATTGCTATTATTGTTTTAATCTTGTTTTTGTTTTTTGGTGGCACTAGGGTTTGAACTCATGTCCTAGAATTTGGTAGGCAAGTGCTCTCCTTTTTTTTAGCCATGCCTCCAGCCCTCTTTCTATTCATGGGAAAAGTGAGGGTAAAAAAATTTAATTTCTTGGCATGATGTTTTTTGTGTGTGTGTTGGTTTTAAGATATAAGCCAGATGCTTCAAATGTCACAATATTTTAAGATTTTTACTTAGGAAAACTTTTAAAAACTGGAATGCTTGAATTGTTAGACATATGCTCTAAATGGATGGCCAAAATATTTTAGACCTCTTAGACTTATATCAAGGCTTCAACATTTGTATATTTAAAAATACGTTTAAAGGTCTGGGAAGTTGGCTCAGTGTTAGAGTGCTTGCCTTGCATGCATGAGGTCCTGGGTTCGATTCCTCCAGCACCACATAAGCAGAAAAAGCTGGAGGTGGGTCTGTGGTGCTCAAGTGCTAGCCTTGAGCTGAAGAGCCTGAGGGACAGTGCCCAGGTCCAGAGTTTAGGCCCTCACGATTGACAAAATAAATAAATAAAATTTTAAAATGAGTTGCTGTTTTGTATAATAGTCATATGTATTATTTCTATGTAGTGTTTAGTGATACTGTTCTTTTTTGTGTATTATTTAGCCGTATATGTGGGAGTCCATGTCCTGCAGTGTGGCCTGATGTGATCAAACTACCGTATTTCAACACCATGAAACCAAAGAAGCAGTATCGTCGAAAGTTAAGAGAAGAATTTGTTTTGTAAGAAGGGGATGATGCTTAAACATCTATATTGCATTGATTTTTTTAAAAAAAGTTATTATGAATTCATGGAATCAGGGATTGTGTGTTTACCTTGAAGAACTTTTTTCTATTTTTTTGCTGATCCATGGGGCTTGAACTCTAGGCCTGGGCACTGTCCCTGAGCTGCTTTTGCTCAAAGCAGGCACTCTACCACTTAAGCCACAATGCTACTTCCAGCTTTTTTTGAGTAATTTGTCCCTGAGTCTTTTTGCTCAAGACTAGTGCTCTGCCATTTTGAGCCACAGTGTTACTTCTGATTTCCTGGTGGTTATTTGGAAGTAAGAGTCTCATAGCTATTTCTGCCCGGGCTGGCCTCGAACTGTGATCCTCAGATCTCAGCCTCCTGAATAGCTAAGATAAAGGTATGAGCTACCAGTGCCCAACTTGAAGAAGAACTTTTAAATATTACTGTTTTTAAATTTATTGAGACAGCTTTCAAAGTATATGTTTAGGGCTTAATTTTGTTTAGGACATTATACTTTTCAGTTTTTAATTGATAACCAATTGTCTATACAGTAAATATGTGCTGTCATGCCAAATAGCTAAAAACTATGTAAACATAATGAAATATTTCATCAAAGGAAAATTTGATATTTGAGTAAACACAGAAAACATATAAAATGTTAGTATTTAAAATTTAATTTTTTTGCTGGGTGCTAATGCCTCATGCAGGTAATCTTATCTACTTAGGAGACTGAGATCTGGGGATCCCAATTTAAAACCAGCTCAGGCAGGAAAGTGTGTGAGATTCTTATCTTTAATACACCATCAAAAAACCAGAAGTGGAGATTTGGCTCAAGTGGATAGAGTGCCAGCCTTGAGCAGAAAGACCAGTTGAGAGCTCAAGACCTTGAGTTCAAGTCTCCCCTCCCCACCAAAAAAAAAGTAATAAAAAAAATTAATTAAAAGTAAGAGGCATGGTGGCACATGACTCTTTAAGTCTAGCACTTGGGAAGCAGAGGCAGGAGAATTGTAGATTAGAATACAGCTTGAGCTGTATAGTATAACCCTGTCTCAAATAGCAAAGAAATTTACTTTAAAATCAAGTCCAAAGAATCATCCAACTTGTGTTTGAAGAATACATGTGACTTTTATAATCCTCTCATGCTAGTATTCCTGCAGCTGCACTAGACTTATTTGATTACATGCTCGCCTTGGATCCTAGTAAGCGTTGCACCGCTGAGCAGGCTCTTCAGTGTGAGTTCCTACGAGATGTGGAACCTTCAAAAATGCCTCCGCCCGAGTAAGTGATCTTTCATTTGATTTGATTCTACAGAGGTAGAATCTGGAGAGTTAATAAAATCTATGTATGGTTATCTGAAAATATTCTATGCCTTGTTTAATTAAATGAACCCAAAAGGTATAGGTAAAATAGAAATCCACAGATATGTTACACTCAGAATGCAGATGTGTGCTTAATGTTCAGCTAACACAGGACTAGCTAAGGGAGGATTAATTGGCCTCAAGATTTTAATCTATTTCAATCCTTAAGAATCTACTGCTGATTTTTCTATCAGTCACTGTTTTACTGAAATTTTGAGTGCTAAGCTAAACATTTTTTTATGAAAAAGAATTCCTCCAAGGTAGGTATTACTATCATCGCCATTTCACAGAGGAAGAAGCAGGCTCAAGGAGGTTAAAAAACTTGCCCAAGAATACAAATATAGTAAAGAGTAGACCAGCCCTCAAACTAGTCAGTTTAATGTAAAAATGAAATTTTGGAAATATTTTCTGACATTTCACATAAAATAAAATCCATATCAAAAATAACTTTAGTGTCAGACGTGTATGTGGAATTATTCCATTAGTTCGATAATTTCTGCAGACTTATTTTGAAATTTGAGAAATTCAGTTTACATATTGTCTTTAGTTGTCATTTCTCTTCTGTCTTTAACCACTTTTTAGGGACTGCTTTTATAATGTTGACTCTTCTCTTTCCTTTTTCTTTCTTGTTGTTGGGGATGGAGCTGAGGTGAAGGTCATGCACAAGCTAAGCAAGTCCTCCACTACTAAGTTAAATCCCAGCCCTGGCATTTACATTTTAAGATTTTAAGATAACTATTTTGTAGATAGGTGAAAACTATGATCAGAATTAGGTTAGCAGTTTTCAGTGCAACAGTGTTGCCTGCATAATGACATTTGCTCCTCATTCCATCACAGAATACACTATCATGTCCCATGTGGTAAAACAATGAGCATATTTAGTTGTCTAAACTTTTCAAACTAGGGTTTAAGTAGTTGGAAAGTAGATTTTCGGTGAACTTTAAATGGTGATATTTTAAAGTAGAGCAGTTCTATAAGTCAAGTTGAACATACATTATACCTTTTCAGTGTCCAACTGAAGTCATTTAGAAAATGTAAAACAGGGGCTGGGAAGTTGGCTTAGTGGTAGAGCACTTGCCTCGCATGCTTGAGGCCCTGGGTTTGATTCCTCAGCACCACGTTCGCAGAAAAAAGCTGTAAGTGGTGCTAAGTGGTAGGGCCTTAGCCTTGAGCTGAAGAGCTGAGGAACAGTGCCTAGGCCCAGAGTTCAAACCCTATAACCAGAAAAAAAAAGAAAAAAGAAAAAAAATGTAAACACTTAATTTTTCTTCCCCTTGAACTTACATTATTCCTACAGGTTTTCTAATTCTAATGTAGAATATAGTTACGTTAAAGTAAATGTATTTATTTTTAATTTTTTGTTTGTCAGTTGTGGGACTTGAACTCAGGGCCTGGATACTTTCCTTGAACTATTTTGCTAGTGCTCTAAGGCTAGTACTCTACCACAATGCCACTTGTGGTTTCCTGGTGGTTAATTGGAGATAAGAGTCTCATAGACTTTCTTGCCCTGGCCAACTTTGAAATGGGGATTCTTACATCTCAGGTTCCTGAGTAGCTAGGATTATAGGTGTGAGCCTCCAACCCCTGACTCAAATAAATGTACTTATATGAATGGAAATATGACTTAAATACCTTTTTTTTCTGCTGATAATGTACCATATTTTTACTATATTAGTAGTGAATATTTGTTTTTAAAAATTAGTAAATTCATTTGGAAATGTAATTTAAGGAAGGTGATAGGCCCAAGGTATTTTTCCCCTAGTAGTTTGCATAGTAATGTGTACCCTTTTTTTGGTCGGTCGTGGGGCCTGAACACTGGGCCTGGGCACTGTCCCTCAACTCTTCAGCTCAAGGTGAGCTCTCTACCACTTGAGCCACAGCGCCACTTCCATTTTTGGTGGTTTATTGGAGATAAGAGTCTCATGGACTTTTCCTGCCTGGGCTGGCTTTGAACTGCAATCCTCAGATCTCAGTCTCCTAAGTAGGATTATAGGCATGAGCCATCAGCTGCCAGCTAGAATGTGTACCCTTTTAAGTTAGCATTTGAAAATGATAGAATTGCATCAGTTCACTGTGTTTGAACTGAAGTTTGTACTGAAAGCCTTGGTGTTTTTTTATTTATTTTTGATTTTTGATTAGTTGCCCGTTGTACACACCTATACATGCCTGTAGCTACTCAGGAGGCTGAGATCATGTAGGATCAAGTTTTGAAGCCAGTCCAGACAGAAAAGTCTTCTTTCAAAATTAACCAGCAAAAAGCAGTGCTGGATATGTGGCTCAAGTGGTAGAGTTCCACCCTAGCAAGAACAAAGCTCCAGTGTTTCCTATGTTCCTCAAGTCTTTTGTTTTCCTTTTAGTGGTACTGGGATTTGACTCATGGCTTTGTGTTTGCTAGGCAGGCACTCTACTGTATGATCCCTCAAGTCTTTTATCAAAACTTATTTTAATGTCAGTTTTTAGTTTACACATGCCTGTAATGACAGTGTTCAGGAGACTGGAGGTCTTGGGAGAATTCAAGGCCAGTGTTGGCTGCATGAGACATGGTCTCAAAGGAACAAATCTTAAAATTCTCTATTAATACTCATGATACTCTTAAAAGTGAAAACCATGAAGCCTCCCCCTATACCCACCAGTGGTGTTAGCAGTACAGTACTTGTTTTTTTTTGTCTGTTATGGGGCTTGAATGCAGGGCCTGGGCACTGTCCCTGAGCTATTTTGCTCAAGGCTAGCATTCTGCCACTTTGAGCCACAACTCTATTTCCAGTTTTTGAGGGGTTAATTGAAGATAAAAGTCTCATGGGGACTTTTCTGCCTGGGCTGGCTTTGAACCTCAGATCTCACCCTTCTTCAGCAGCTAGGACTATAGGTGTTAACCACTGGCACCTGGCTTTAACAGTACTTGCTAAATAACTTCTGAAACTTATAATTTTTTAGAAGCTTTATTGCCCAATAAATCATCTAAATAAGTTAATTTTTATCATTAACATATATAGTTACATCTTTCTATTTAAAATAAATGTGCTGCTAGCCTGGGTAGCACACACTTGTAATCATAACTACTTGCGACGCAGACAATCAGGAGGATCAAAGTTCTAGGCCAGCCTGAGAAATAAGTTAGACCCATTTCCCCCATCTGAAAAGGCAAGCTGAGTATATGAGTATAGTCTCTAATCCCAACTATACAATAAGTGGAGTTTAGAGAGATTATAGTCTTAAGAGTGCCCCAAGTAAGACCTTACCTGAAAAATAAAGCAAAAAAAAAAAAAAAGTGAGCTGAGATCATGAGGACATGAATTTAAGCCGCATAACCATAAATACTTATGTATATACATAATAAACATTTCAGGAACATTCTGTAAGTAATCTATTATGGGATTATAACATTGATTCAATACTTAAAAGTTGCATAAACATATAACATCTTACATTTTGTAATGTAAGAGTAGCTTAAAATATAAATTAAAGGTAAGAATTTTGAAGAAAGGTGTGATATTCTTTTGGAAATCAGGTATATCAAACTCAGTCAATGTTTTTAGCAATAATCAAATGGGAGTAAAATAGTAAATAAATTAGAAATAACTCTGTTGATCCTTTTCAATTCCCTGTCAAAATTTGCTGATGTATTTCAGGGAAAAAATACAACTAATTAAACTGGCAGCTACCCTACAGTATTGACTGACAGCAACATAAAAAGCCATAAGTAGTTTATATGGTGAAATATGACTTTCATAATACAAATTGATGAAAGTAGCTTGAAGTCATCTGAATGATAATGCATGATCTCAAACATGAGTATGTCCAGGTATGTAAGAGGCACTGTCCATGCTTACAGATGTTAAATCTGTTCGCTCAACCCCCACGAGGTATAAACTATTGTTAGTCTCACTTTTGAGCATAAAGACACTGAGGTGTAGAGGTCATGACTTACCTAACGAGACAGCAGATAATGGCTGAGCCAGCACTTGAGCCTTCAAGGAAGCTCAAGAGTTGGGTCACTTTGAGGAAACCTGGAGTGTCTTCTGAGCATCAGCATCACTCATCTACACTGTTCTATATACCTGGAGGGTTATGTTTACCTTTTGTAAAGATAAGTACTAAGGTATTTCATAATGAGTCACTTACCTTTAAATTGTGGGAGGAAATAGCCCTTTTTATTGATTTCTTTGCTCTTTTCTCATGAGGCCAAAATCACTTCATTTACGTCATTTGGCAGTGCTACAGTCTTAATTTAATTCAGAGTATCCTGAGACAAAGGCCTACACTATTTAATACACATACCCAGAAAGGAAAGTCTTTGGAGGGTTTGTGATACCTTAAAATTTCCCAGTATCAATATTTCAAATTGTCCCTTTGTTTGTTACTCCAGGAGGTTTTTACACGCTGAGGCAATGCACCATAGTAAGATGGCTGAGAGGTATGCCTTTGTTTTGTTTTCAGACCTCAGGTGCATAGACTTGGTTTAATCATAATCCTTGTGTCACTCATCTTTGGTCCATGCATGGCTCTTTTTTTTAATTTATTTTAGTTACTTTAAATAATGTTATTAAGCAGCCATGAACCTACCAAACAGAAGCTAGCACCTTGAAAATAACCTACTTTAATCATACCATAACCTCTTCCACCCATGTATACCCTTGCCTTCTTCTGAGGTAACCATCATTCCTGTTTTTTCCCTTGTATATACCTTTTTGTTGTTGTCTGTATGTACTCATAAAAAGATAAAATTTTTCCATTGCTTTTAATTTTATAGAAGGGTATCATGCTGTTTTTAATCTTTTGGAAATGACCGTTTTTACTAATACTTTTACTATATTGCTAAGATTCAATCATACTGCCGCATATGCTTTCATAACATGAGATGAAGTAGTTGTGCAAGAGGAGGTATGAAAGAAGAACTTTCTTGAATGTGCAGGCCCTTTTCAGAGCTCAACCTTAGAAAAGAGGAGATGTTGATAAGGCAGTTCCCTTAAAACAACCTCAGGGATTCCCTTGGAAAGTCTTCTCGTACCCCTTGAGGTAAAGAGGCACGTTGAGGACTGAAGGCACACATGAGTAGATAGAGTTGCTTAAAGAAATCTGTACATATTCTGGGCAAGTTTATTAACCTTTCCAAGCCTCAGTTTTCTCATCTATAAAATAGATACAATTAACAGTAAGTTTCCTCAGAATTTTTTTTTAGTATGGTAAAAAAACATTTATAATCAAATATTTATAGAAGTGTTTTTCTTTAAGCAAAGGTTCTATGAAATTGCATGAAGGTACACTTGTTTTGGAATTGTGGAAACTTTGGTAGTCCCAGCTGTTGAGACCCTCATAATGAGTAATGGAGTTTTCTATGCCTGGAATGCATTTATAGAATTACTGTACTAATTTGGTTATAGAAGCAAGAAAGGGGTTACTACAAAAAGTATACAGCTTCCATCGGAAAGTTTTTCACAAATGTTTATGTTCTTGCCTTAGTTCTTTTTTTTTTTTTTTTTTTTTTAATCCTGTATCTGGTTTCTGTATCTGGCAAATGGCATGTTCTGCCTCTTCCTTTCTGTCCTGTTCATTGTATTATGTACTGTGATAAAAATTGCCTTGAAAAGGTTGCGCCATGTATAATGGTAGCCAATTTTCTGAATATATGTTCTCAATTCATAATTTTGATATGTGACTTTTTATTGATTTCTCAGAAGCCAAAAGAAGTAGTCCATCTATAAAGTGTAAAGGTAAAACCATGAAGGAGATGGAGCATCTGGGATAATTTTAATTGGTGTTTAACAAATCTCTGTAGGAAGTCTAGATTTTGGGAGAATGGCTTTGGTGTGACATAATAGCTTTTTTGTTAAGAACTGCTTTGTTATATATCTAATAGTAAATAACAATGTACATCCCACAATTTTATGTCCTTGTATTTTTTTCAGTCTTCCTTTATGGCAAGATTGTCATGAGTTATGGAGTAAAAAGCGAAGAAGGCAGAAGCAGATGGGCATGACTGATGATGTTTCCACAATTAAAGCCCCTAGGAAGGAATTATCTCTGGGCTTGGATGACAGCAGAACTAACACACCCCAGGGTGTGCTGCCACCTACACAATTGAAATCTCAGGGCAACTCAAGTGTAGCACCTGGTCAGTAATGTGTCCATGGCTTGGTTCTCTTCGCTCCCTACTTAATGTTGATGGTGTTACTCTGCTTATGGCTGGAAGATAAAAGGGAAAAGGGAAGGTCTAGTGACTGAATTTGAGGTCGTCCAGAAGCTTCACTGCTCCTGGCATAGCAGTGTGAAGCACTCTCAGGGAAGATCATTTCTAAGGCAGAACGAAACTAATTATGATTGGTGATTGGTCAGATTTCTTTTTTTCCTTTGTCTCTAGTGCAGAAGTCAATGTATCTGGTTTTTTGGCACTGTCCCTGAGTCTTTTTGCTCAAGACTAGTGCTGTACCACTTTGAGCCACAGTGTCACTTCTGATTTCCTGGTGGTTATTTGGAAATAAGAGTCTCATGGACTTTTTCCAAACCATGATTCTCAGATCTCAGTCTCTTCAGTAGCTAGGACTGCAGGCATGAACCATTTAGCACCTGGCAAGTCAGTGTATCTTTAACTACCTCTCAACGCACACACTCATGTCTGTAAATGCTTGAGTAGGAAGAAGAATATATGAAAGACAGCCAAGAATCATCTTGGTGCTATTTAATAACATTTATAATGCCCATGGGTTGCTTAGTTATAGGTATTTCTCCTGATATATCATGGGTCTTCAAACATTTGTATCAGATACTATGCTAAAAAGAAAACATGATAATAAAGTATACTTTTATGAAGTTATCTGAAATCAAGAAAACTTAGGTTTCTTTCTGTGACTCAAACTTCATGAGAAGTACTCTTAAAATCATCTCAGTTAACTAGCACTTTTAAAAAATCCATTTTGCCAAATAATTGAGGAACATCCATCTTCAAATTGAGTCTTGTATCATGACAGATAACGATAAAAATGAGTTGTAAGTATCTTTCTGTGTGAAGGTAGTAGTTTATTACATATGGAAAAATAGATTAGCACTTACTGAGAGTTATGTCTTGATTCATTAGTTTTGACTCAAACAGATGTATGAATCAGATTGAGCATTTGATGGATTGAGCATAAACACAGAGTGATTAGCTGAGACAAGATGAAGAAGATTATCATTAATACTTGTTCCTGTAATCTACAAGCTTATCCTTGACCTTGGTTAGACTATGTACTAAAGTTCCTCAGATTTTAAAACTCAAAAGCAGTGGTTATTTTGGTTGTTCAGAGAGTGAATTTTCCTTTTACATGAAAATACTTTAGAGAACACATTTGTTTTTACAGTGAAGGCTGATCTGTATCATGTTTAATATTATTACCTCACCACATTAAAATTTTGAGAAAGGCAAAAGAGAATAGTAAATTTTCTTCATACCATCTGCTGTTAAAGGAGGATGGGGCAAACCTAGTGGAATATAAAGTGGTAGTTACTCTATTTTAGCTGATAAAAACAAATTGCTGCCAAGTACTGGGCAGCTCATCCCTGTAATCCTGGCTACTCAGGAGGTGGAGATTTGAGGACTGCAGTTCCAAGTCATGCCAGGCTGACAGATCTGAGATACTCTTATCTCCAGTTAACTATCAAAAAGCCAGAATGGGAGATGAATTCAAGCTTCAGCACTGGCACCAAACAACAATTCCAGAAACCGTACTGGCATTCTGTCATTGTTTAGCTCCTATTTCACAACTCCAATAAATGATGGAGATTTTCCCTACCCCCCCAAAACAGCTGTTACTATTAAGAAGTGAGGATTTGTCTTTTGAAATATGGTACTTGCTTCTCTACTCCATTTCCCGTGCGTCCCTCCACCCCCATCATCACAGTGTATCTTGAATAAGAAAACTGCCCATTCTTAAAAGTCATTTTAGTTCAGAATGTTTCCCTCGGCTCACATGGAAACTTTCAGCTAATATAGAAATAATGAGTAAAATGACTTCTTGAGTGTGGCAAGCAGACATTATTCTTTATAAATCCTTGTGAATTATAAGAGGAACTTGGAAAAATATGTTTGCATTAATCTAAAGGTAATATTAAGCAATAATAGAAAAAGTCTGAAAGAATGTGAAAAGATACAACATGAAAAAAATGGTATTACTCATTACTCTTTTCCATTAGTCTTTCATTGGTGGTTATGGGAATTGCTGTTGATACTGTCTTAACACTTGACAATATATAGTGGTATATGCATTTGAGCCTAGCTGTTAGGTGTGAATCTGTGTTAACCATGCCAAAGCTAAAACTGAATATTGGAAAAGAAAAGCAGTTGAATTTGGTTTTTGGGTAAGTGAATTAATGCTGTCATGTATCCGAATAATAAGCATATTTCTGTTAGCAGCCTGATATTTATAAAAAGTAATTTGAATTGAAACATGTTTTATTTTAGTCTGTAAAACCTAATTTCCATTTAATGCAAAGTGAAGATTAGGTTCTCACATAATAAATTTTATTAAGCATAATAAATGGTATAGTGGCTAAATGCACAGTTTCTGCAATCAGTTCTCATGAAATCCCTGCTACTGTGACTTTGGGTGAGTTACTCAGTTCCTTTTATTCCTTACCTTATAAGGTCAGGCCTATAATCCTAGCTACTCAGGAAACTAAGATCTGAGGATTATGGTTCAAAGCCAGCCCTGGCAGGAAAGTCTGTGAGACTTGTCTCCAATTAACCACCAGAAAACTGGAGTGGCACTGTGGCTCAAGTGGTAGAGTGCTGGCCTTGAGTTGAAGAGCTGAAGCACCCAGCACCAGGCCCAGAGTTCAAGCCCCATGGCTGACCAAAAAAACAAAACAAAACAAAAAACCCAGCGAACTGCAATTCTCTTTTTATCTTGACTTATGTTGCAAGTACATTCTGAATGCCATGTTAGTGAAGTAGACTGAGGTGCCCTTCACAGTTTTTCTGAAACGTTCTCCCCCAAATGTACATTTTAATATGGTGCATGGGACCATTTTGGGGATGGGATGAGCTATGAGTTATGGCAGTTCTAATTAATACAAATTTTGTCTTTAGTAATAACAGGCCCTGGACAGCCGTTAAACCACAGTGAATTGGCAATTCTACTTAACCTACTACAGTCTAAAACAAGTATTAATATGGCTGATTTTGTCCAAGTGTTGAACATTAAGGTAAACTCTGAGACTCAGCAGCAGCTAAATAAAATAAACCTTCCTGCTGGAATTTTGGCAACAGGTGATAAACAGACAGATCCATCAACACCACAGCAGGAGTCTTCGAAACCTTTGGGAGGAATTCAGCCTTCTCAGACCGTCCAACCTAAAGTGGAGGCAGATGCTGCCCAGGCGGCTGTGCAGAGTGCATTTGCAGTTCTGTTGACTCAATTAATAAAGGCTCAACAGTCGAAACAGAAAGATGTGCTATTAGAAGAGAGGGAAAATGGAGCGGGACATGAAGTGTCATTACAACTCAGGCCACCTCCAGAACCTAGTACGCCAGCATCAGGTGAGTGTGGGCTCACTAGACTACAAACATGTTGCACTTATGCTGACAATTGTCAGATCAATGGTGATGTTTACTCTAAGGGATGGATTCTATAACAAATTGTCCATAAGTGATACAGTTCCTTCTGAATACTGTAGATTTTTCTAACAAACCTATAGTAAATCTTTTTTTTTTGGGGGGGGGGGGGATGGTGGTGGGTCTGGTGCTTGAACTCAGCACCTGAACAACTTTTTTTTTTGGTTGTGGGTCCTTAACTCTGGCCCTGGGCACTGGCTGTCCTTCAGCTCTTTAGCTCAAGTCACTCTACTACTGAGCTACCTTCTCAGCCCATCCTTGAGTTTTTTAGATCAAGACTAGCACTCTACCACTTGAGCCACAGCTCCATTTCTGGCTTTTTGTTGATTAATTGGAGATAAAGAGTGCCTCAGACTTTCACGATGGGTCTAGCTTTGAACTGTGATCCTCAGATCTCAGCCTCCTGAGTCGCTGGAATTACAGGCCTGAGCCATACTGGTCCTGGTAGTAAATAACTTTTAATTGTAACTACTAAAGGATGCTTGACTAGAGAATAAACTTTATGTATATAGTAACTTTTGTTCCTCAAGCAATAAATAGGAATATATAAAGTACTTTTGAAAAGCTGATTACAGTTCATGTTAATACTTACCCTATACATAGTGACAGGCAACATTAGCACTTCGGAACTTTCTTCCTTTTCATCTAATGGTTTGCCAGAGATGGCATATATTTTGCTTAATCATCTTTAAGACCACACATTGGAAACAGGAACTATTTTGAATGTTTAGTTTCCTGTTGTGCCTTTGACTCCCATTTTGCTTCGTTTCACTTAGGGCAAGATGATCTTATCCAACACCAAGACAGGAGGATATTGGAGTTAACACCAGAACCAGACCGGCCCCGGATTCTGCCTCCTGATCAACGACCTCCTGAGCCACCTGAACCACCACCAGTAACTGAGGAGGATCTGGATTATCGGACAGAAAACCAGCATGTACCTACAACTAGTTCTTCATTAACTGACCCTCATGCCGGAGTGAAAGCAGCCCTTCTACAGCTGCTGACCCAGCACCAACCCCAGGATGACCCCAAGAGAGAAGGCAGTATGGATTACCCTGCAGGGGACACTTACGTGCCTACTTCAGACTATAAAGACAACTTTGGATCATCATCTTTTTCTTCTGCTCCTTATGTGAGCAGTGATGGTCTCGGAAGTAGTTCTGCTCCCCCGCTAGAACGACGCAGCTTCATTGGAAACTCAGATATTCAGACCTTGGATAACTACAGTACTGCTTCATCTCATTCTGGTGGTCCTCCTCCCCCACCTCCTCCTCCTCCCCCACCACCTCCTCCTCCTCAACCTTCTGCCTTTTCTGAGTCATTTCCCAGCTCAGTAGCTGGATATGGAGACATTTACCTCAATGCTGGCCCCATGTTGTTTAGTGGAGACAAAGACCATAGATTTGAATATAACCACGGTCCTATTGCAGTCCTGGCAAACAGCAGTGACCCCTCCACAGGGCCTGAGAGTACTCATCCTCTGCCAGCAAAGATGCACAACTACAACTATGGTGGTAATTTACAGGAAAATCCAGGTGGCCCCAGCCTCATGCATGGACAGACCTGGACTTCTCCTGCCCAAGGACCTGGCTATTCACAAGGATACAGGGGGCATATTAGCACATCAGCTGGCAGAGGTCGAGGCAGAGGGCTACCATACTGAGTATGTTTTTCCTCAGGCACATCATTTTTATCTGGAAAGACTTTTCTAGCTGCAGTTTAAGGCAGCAATCCAAGAGACTTGAATAATATTAATTCAACAACAGCTTTATTTTTATGTGGAAAGGGTCTTGCATACAATAGTGAAAAAAACAAAAAAACCTTGCTTAAATTCATGCTGTTCTTAAAATTAGATCTATTGATTGTACATCTTCACAAATTCTAGTTAAATTTTATTTTGTATTCTTGCAGTTTTAAGTGGATGCTAATCTTAGGGACATAAGCTTTTTATGGCCCTCTTGCAGATCTTCTGAACTATGCACATTTGTGCTTTTTTTTGTAAGTTTGGACCAACTTTTATGTAAAAACAATCCCTCCTCGCTCCCCTCCAGTTTTACAACAATCAGAAAGGGCACTGATTTATTTGGTATTTTTCTTTTTACAAAGCTACCTTTAGTCAAAGGTCACTGTCAAGTCTTTGCACCTGCTTTCAGTGTTATTGTGAAAGGTGTACTTTGTGCTCATTTCAGAAAATAAAACACAACCTTTCTCTTGATGCAAGTTTTATATAAAAAAATGGTCAATGTTATTTTTGTTTTGTTTTGCAGATAACCATAGCCTAGCAAAATGCATTCAGATGAAATAGTGGGTTTTCTATGAAAAATAAGGGTGGGATGGGGAGGGTTAAGTAAGTGCCTTAACAGGTAAGCTTAAGGTCTGAAAAAGTAGTTAACTTTTACACCCATTTGTCTTTTAAAGGGAATCAATGCATTGTATTGAAGAGGCAGGAAATTCTTCAGTTCCTAGGATCTGCCTGATTGTTTGATTAAGCCATTCCCTCTGCCTACCACACTTTGCCCCTTTTGCCCATCCTTTGGTTGTGTTAACTTTGACTACCACCTTCTCTCCATAGGGGAGTGAGAGCCAAGAAGGGAGTAGATAGAAGTCAGTACCTTTTTGTTACTTCTGAGAAGTCCCACAACTTTTGTCATTTCAGTGGTTGAAAGTAAATAGCTGAATGAGTAGTTGACAGTACTGTTTTCTTCCTGGCTCCCATATTGATTGACCTCTTTTTCACTTGGAGGGCAGAAGTTTAGAAGCAAGAATTAGTAACAATTTGCATAAATGTATTAAAGTTAGTGGGAAGAGGGGTGGCAAACAGATTTTAAGTTAAGCAATTACCATTTTAAGAAAAAAATTGTTAACTAGAAACATTGTTGACATTGAATTTATTGAAACAAAGTTGTGAGAGAAAACCTTATCTTCCTTCTCATGTCTATGAAATTCATGACTTCTGCCAGATATAGAACATTAGGTCATTTTAAACATGTTTTTATTCTACTAAAAGTAACAAAGAATATGGAATTACCCTTACTTAAACTGTAATGTTGTCAAGTCTTACAGATGTTTTGTATACACATGTGCACATGTGCATACTCATTCACACAGAGTAATAATTCTGGAAAGGAACCAAAGGAAAATAACCAGAATTTCCATCATCACTAAATGGAAACATAGACTCTGGGAAATTAAAAGTTGTGCCAATTAGCCATTTATTTTAACTGTGCTGGTGACTTTTTGGTTGGAATCTCAAATGGGAATAGCTTATGAGATTGAAAGGTCCAGTTCTAAAGCCAGTTAACTCTGTGCTATGTATCTGACTTGTGAACCACGAGAATATTTTAATGAGGATAATTTACCATTTTACTACTATAAAATGAGTTGATGTCAACTAAGCATTTTATTTTTTGATGGAATTTTTTTGTTGGGAGAGAAAAAATATTTTGCTTTTATTTGAATATTGAGTACTAACAACTTATAATAAAACTACATTACAGGAAGTGAGGAAATATTTGGAAATTAGCAAAATAGCTACAGTATTCAAGTCTCTGAATCCTAATATGGTGAGTCTTAGACCTTTAGACTTTCCTATAAGTGACAGTATCTAAATTATTCTTAATAGTCACACTTGGATAATTCTGCTGACCATAGCAGCTAACCTAGAATTGAAGATATTTATGTGACATGAATAGCCTGTGTTTTAAAAATTAAATATTTTATATAAAATTGAACTGTGTTTGGATAGTTTTTCTAATTAAAAATTGAGTTACATATGTATTGGGAGAATGGCTGGGAAGACAGGGAAATTGTTTGCTTGAAATGGAAAACTTGACTCTGGCTTCTAAGACAACATTGCTTGTGAGACCTAGCAACATCTTACATACCACTTTGAAGAAAAAAATATTACCAGTGAAACCACAATACAATGATAAGATACCATGTAAGATAGTACTAGATTTGAAGGTGATGTTACATGAAAATGTCCTGTAGTCAATGAAATATAGTAGTAAAAAAAATCTTAAATGTTGTCCACCATAACATTTTGACACCTTCATGAATTGGATTAATAATTACTAATTAATACCAATTAAGAATAAGTCAGAGCCGGGCGCTGGTGGCTCACACCTGTAATCCTAGCAACTCAGGAGGCTGAGATCTGAGGATGTGGTTCAAAGCCAGCCCGGGCAGGAGAGACCGTGAGACTCCTATCTCCAATAAACCACCAGAAAACCGGAAGTGGCGCTGTAGCTCAAGTGGTAGAGTGCTCGCCTTGAGCTGAAGAGCTGAGGGACAGCGCCCAGGCCCAGAGTTCAAGCCCCATGAATGACCAAAAAAAAAAAAAAGAAAAGAATAAGTCAGGAGTCAAGTGTAATCTTAGAGAAAAATATTGCCTAAGTTCTTTTGGAAGAAGCAGGTAGGTAGTAGGCTGCAATAAGGTGAAAATAGAAAAGACTGATTTCTGCAAAGTGAATACATGTTGTTTCTCCCACATGAAGTTCCCTTCTATACTTCCTGACTCAGCAAGTGTCATGCATGCAATGCAGGGTGTGTCCCAAGTCTTTTATCTTGGAGAACTGAAATGGTAAAAGTATCCACTTTACTGATTAGTTTGTGAAAAGTGAATTGTGGAATAGATTAGCTGGGAGTCAGCACTTCATTTCGTCAGCAAGTACATATTCAATGCCTACCATGTTCCAGATAATTTTTCTAGTTCTTGAGATATGTTAATAAACATGGAATGTTCTAAGTTATACTTCTAGTAGGCTGACCACAATGTTTAAAAATGTCTGGAGAAGCTAGTGATATTTGCTACTCTGAGCTATACGTATAGATAAGTTATGGAAATGGATGGAAGTTTGAGTAGACAAGGTTCTAGAAGGAAGCAAAACAACTGAAATTCACTAGTGAAAACATTTTGAATCTGTCTTATCTACAGATTTCCTGTGACCCTCATTTGGATATTTTAAGTCTGAACAGGATGTCCAAATAACCAAAACTTACATGCCCAGTCTCTGTGCCAAGAAACATGAGGCTTAGAATGAGACCTTGCCTTCTCTTTGTATTCCTGGGGTCAGAGCCCAGGGCCTGACTAGTCATAGCAGGCTAGTTCTATCCTTAGCTATGTCCCCAGTCCCAGTCCTTACAGTCCTCTTAAAACCTGGCTGGCTGCCAGTGCTTACTCCTCTAGAGCCACATGTAAATTGGGCAAGCTTGCTTATTAATAGCCAGAAGAGTGTTACATACAGTAAAATGATTAAATTTAGAATATGGTACTATTAGTTTAACTTACTTTTTTCAGGGGGAGAAGGTGGGGATGCTAGTCCTGGTGCTTGAATTCATGGTCTGGGTGTTGTCTATGAGCTTTTGTGCTCAAGGCTAGTGCACAACTACTTGAGCCACAGGTCCATTTGTGGCTTTTTTGGTGGTTAATTTGGTAAGTCTCATAGACTTTGTTGCTTGGGCTGTGATCCTCAAATCTCAGCCTCCTGAGCCACTGGCACCTGGCCATAAATGGGTTTTTAAAAGTCTACATAAGAAAAAAAAAATTCTAATTCAGAACAAAATAGAAAAATATTTTTTTTTTTTGGTAGGGAACTAGCAACTTGTATGGACTGTTTCACACATGGGTAGTTGTATAGAGGTTCCTGTATTAAAAATACTGTAGTTCTATATGTAACAATTAGAGAAGACTGCATTATCCACTAAAATGCAAGTTCTGTATATAAAGGAGGATTGTTCTCAGCAAACTTAGAATTTGCTTTACAGTATTTTGGTGCTGGTCTGGGGGCTTGAACTATTGGCTGGGTGCTGTCCCTTAGTTTTGTGCTCAAGCCTAGTGCTTTACCATTTGAGCCACAGCTCCACTGGCCTTTTGGTAGCTTATTGGAGATGAGTTTCATAGATTTTCCTGCCTGGGCTGGCTTTGAACCAAGATCCTCAGATGTCATCCTCCTGAGTAGCTAGGATTACAAATGTGAGACGTGAGCATCTTGCTGATACCTTTTTATGATCCAAAATGGAAAGAATATCCATTGTTAAATACTGTTTCGTGCTAGCTTGTAGCAAGTCTGTTACACAGTTGAAGCAGTGCTGGGAGGTAGAGGGAAGGAGGAGGTTTAGAAAGGAAGTGCTCCATGTTAACTATGATTGTCTGCATTAAAAATAGTGTACAATTTTAACAAGTTCCTATAATCATTTTTATAGGCGAACAAGAGACTAGGGTAGTTTTGAACAAGAATTTAGACTTTCCCTACCAGATTTTAAGACCCCCTAGGACAGTGTTTTCCACAAAGGGGGAAAGAAAACCAAAATTTTGAAATACTCAATTTCCATAGATCTGAGTGGTAGTATTTTAAATATTGAGTAACCCAAAATACAGGTGAAGCCTAGTGCTGGTGCCTCATGCCTGTAATCCTAGCTACTCAAGAGGCTGAGATCTGAGGATTGCTGTTTGAATCCAGCCTGGGTAGGAAAGTCTATGAGAATCTTACCTCCAATTAACCATCAAAAAACTGGAAGTGGTGCTTTGGCTTAAAATAGTAGAGTGGGCTGTGCACTGGTGACTCACACCTGTAATCCTAGCTACTCAAGAGGCTGAGATCTGAGGATCATGGTTCAAAGCCAGCCTGGGCAGAAAGTCTGTGAGACTCTTACCTCCAATAAACCACTCAGAACTGTAGTGGTGCTGTGGCTCAAGTGATAGAGTGCTAACCTTGAGCTGAAGAGCTAAGGGACAGCGCCCAGGCCCAGAGTTCAAGCCCCACTACCTACCAAAAAACAAAAAACAAACCCAAAATAGTAGAGTGGTAGCCTTTAGGCCAGAGTTCAAGCCCCACAACCTACAAAAACAAAACAACAACAAAAAAACCCACCAAACCCAAAATAGTAGAGTGGTAGTCTTTAGCAAAAAAGCATAGGGACAGTGCCCAAGGCTGAGTTCAAGCCCCATGACTAATAAATACAGTTAACCTAGTAATTTTACTTCAAGAAATTAGCTACAGAGAAATAATGTGTATGGATGCATGTGCCATTACTTGTAAATGGAAAAGTGTAAGTAGCTCTAATACTAATCTGTAATAATCTACAATAATAGACATGCCATTGAAGAATAGTATGACTCCATATGATTAAAGAAATGCCTACCGACAGAGCATTGTGTTTGGAAATGCTAAATAGCTTTGCCAGTTATTGATTTGTGTAGCCTCAGACAAATTACTGGTACTCTGGATGGTTGGTGCTTCATAAATGTTTAGCTGCTGATGAGGAAGGGGTTGGGGGGAGTGGTAAAGGAATTTTGCTGATTTTATATCTTAATTAAGACTTGTAATTTTAAATTAGAGCTGGGTGCTGGTGGCTCACACTTGTAATCTACTCAGACAGCTGAGATCTGAGGATCCAGGTTTGAAGTCAACCCAAGCAGGACAGTCCATGAGACCCTTATCTCTAACCATCAAAAGGCCAAAAGTGGAGCTGTGGCTCAAGTGGTAGAGTGCTAGCTTTGAGGAAAAAAAAAAAAGTCAGGGCAAGCCCCACTGTGAGCACCAACATAAATAAGAAATAAATTAGAATATTGGTTTTAGCTAGCAAATCACAATGCTTATCCTTGAGGTTTTTTTAAAAAATAGAATATACAAATCAAAACTTTTCTTTCCTGTTTATCAAAGGGGACATTCCTGAAGATTCTCTAGAATCCATATGTCGCCATGGAAACATATATACTTTATTAAGAATTTTCCATTTCAGTTTATTTTCTTGTTTTCCATTGGGCAGACAAGAATTCTGCTTTCTAGAAGGAAATTGTATAAACATTCTAGTATTAGAACTATTCAGTTTGATCATTTAGGCTTTCAAGGGCTGCAGATTGCCTTAAGCAGTAAAGCACTTGCCTAGCAAGTGTGAGACCCTGAGTTCAAACCCCAGAATTGCATGCATGTGCACATGTGTATATGCACAGAAAATTTCGTTCTCAATTAGTACTCTGCCTGTCTGGGTCAGTTCCACTTGAACTTAAAATTTCAGAATCATACCTTGACTTTAATACAGCTTTAAAACTCTAACATGTTTTAAGGTTGCTTAAGTTCTCTTAGCAAGTCTTGATGTTCATACCCATGCAGCTTTCAGTTGGGCTCACAACTTTGTCAGGTCCTGGAAGGAACCATTGTTTGGACATTTGCTTGGTTTTGACTGTTCTGAAGTTCATGCTGGCAGACCCAGGTAGCATATACTTTTTTTTTTGTCTAGTCCTGGGGCTTGAACTCAGGGCCTGCCCACTGTCCCTGAGCTTTATTTGCTCAAGCCTAGAACTCTACCACTTGAGCCGCAGTGCCATTTCTGGCTTTTTCCATTTATGTTGTACTGAGGAATTGAACCCAGGGCTTCATGCATGCTAGGCAAGCACTCTATTCCTCGGCTACATTCTTAGCCCCAGCATATACTCTCATACAACTTTGTTCCAATAAAGTTGGCTAGTTACATAAAATAGACACAGCTGAGAACAGTACATTTCAGAAAACTCACAAAGTTTCCATCCAATTGCTTTGCTCATGAATTTGTCATTTTCTACATTCTTCCAAATTAGAAAACATGTCCCAACCTCTTTTTCATGTAGTATGACCAAAGTTTGATACATGACAGCAATGGTATAAGCCAGTATCTCACAAGAACATCCTCAATAAAATATTAAAAATCCAAAGAACTTTTTAAAAAAGAAATGAAACTGAGCTGATTGTTG